CAGAATGGGCAGAAATGGCACAACCAGTTGTTTTTTCTTGCGTGGGAAGTGCAGAATCAGGGATGGTCCTGACCCCACAAACCAAACTCCAAACAAGATGGTCAAATTTTAATTTCCAATTTTGTCAGGTGTAATGTTCATAGATTGTTGCAACACCAAAGAAGGCCACTCAGCCCATCTTGTCTGCGTTGATACTCAAAAGGAAAAATTGAAGTATTACTATTCCCTCCCTCTTCCCACATTTCTCAATGTGTTAATGGGAGCTAGGACCTCTCTCCACAGAAATAGGTGGGAGCCAGCTATTGGCCACTGAGGCCAGCTATGAGAAAGGCCAGCCTCAGTGATCTGAGACGTGATCCCATTGGTTCAAAAATAGCCCTCTACCCTCATCCCCCCTCCCTCTCACCATGTTCCCTTACATCTGCACTCACAATGCTCTGTCCATGGTAATGTGTGCCCCACACACCCTCATAGACTCTTACAACCTCCATAGCAAACTGTGCCCCTCTACATATCCACACGTGTCCCACACACCATTTATATAAAATTATACACTATGACCCTTTATGGCTCCTAGTGTCAGTTCCCAATAACCATGCTCCCATCCCATTGGCTTTACCCTTACATTCGCCACATCAGTTCACCCAGTATCTAGAATAGTGTAATTCGGGAGCCTCACTGAAATTAAATAAATTCAAGTTTTATGCGTCTGTTGCAGATTTTATCTTTTAAATTTTACTCAGGAAAAACAAATTCACTGCATTTAAGTTCCTTCATAAACTTGATCCCTTAAAAAGCAAATAGCAAATTTCAAGCAGCAAATACCTCATTAAAGCAAGTATTTGTATTCATTGACCTACATCATAGACTTTATAAACACTTGGGACTGTCAGTTAGACTGTGAACTGACAGGTACCCTACTGGAACAATGATAAGTTTTAGAGACATTCATTCAGTACAAATCCATTAATCATGGTTCCCTGGCTTAAATCAACAGACAGTGGAATTTTAGATACTGTTTCTTGGTTATTGCAAACTTGTTAAATTTAAAGAGTGGGATATTCAAACACATCAAAAACTTAACAGATTCACAGAGCATATCTACATTTTATGCATACTCATATCTACACTTCCCAATCCTAAAGGGCATGTTATCTCTTCCAAAGGGCTACCTGAACCAATCCAAAAGGATACCAAAACTCTTCAAATTATTCTGACAAATTTTGACTTTACTTCAACTTTCCGAAGCACATGAATCTTGTTTTGGCTAATCTGCTAATGAAATTAGTATGTTTGAATAAAAACCGAAAGAACTTCAGATGCTATAAATCAGGAACAAAAACAGAAGTTGCTGGAAAAGCTCAGCAGGTTTGGCAGCAACTGTGAAGAGAAAATCAGAGTTAACGTTTCGGATCTGGTGACCCTTCCTCAGAGCAGGAAGGTTCTGAGGAAGGGTCACTGGATCTGAAACATTAACTCTGATTTTCTCTTCACAGATGCTGCCAGACATGCTAAGCTTTTCCAGCAACTTCTGTTTTTGTTGTTGGTATGTTTGAAGGCAGCTATGTTTTCCAGTCTGTAAAATATAGTTGTAGAAGTTACGATAAGGTCATCCCTTTCCTCAGCAAATCAGGAATTAAGAATCTATTGATGACCATGAAATGGAGTGACGATAACTGATGACCTGTCTTGGACTTCCCACGTAAATGCGACAGTCAAGAAGGCACAACAGCACCTCCTCTTCCTCAGGCGGCTCAGGAAATTTGGCATGTTCATGAGGACCCTCACCAACTTCTACAGATGCACCACTGAAAGCATACTGCCCAGGGGCATAACGGCCTGGTACGGCAACTGCTCTGCCCAGGAACGTAAGAAACTACAGAAAGTGGTGTGCACAGTCCAGACCACCACGGAAGTCAACCTTCCATCCGTGGACTCCATTTACACGGCTCACTGCTGTGGAAAGGCGGCCAACATCATCAAAGACCCATCGCACCCTGGTAATGATCTCATACAACCTGTTCCGTTAGGCAGAAGATACAGAAGCCTGAACACACAACAGGTTCAAGAACAGCTTGTTCCTGGCTGTTATCAGACTGACAAATGGACTGTCTAGCTCAAATAACACTGATCTTGTTAATGTTGATCTGGCCGAATGCATTCTCTGTGCAATGTAACCTGTATGCCTCTGTCTAAGTTTTTTTGATCTGTACATCCTTACGTGCTATGATCTGCCTGTACTGCTCATAAACAAAACTTTTCACTGTACTTTAGCACAAGTGACAATAAATCAATCAATCAATCAATCAATCAAACTGTCAATCAACAAGGCACAAATAAGGAGTGAGATGGAATACTCCCCACTTGCCTGGATGGCTGCGGCACCAAAAACATTCAAGAAGCTTGACACCATCCAGGATAAAGCAGCCCGTTAGATTGCCACTACATCCACAAGCACTCATTTCCTCTACCACCAATGCTCAATAGCATGTACTATCTACAAGGTGCACTGCAGAAATTCACCAAAGATCCTCAGACAGCACCTGCAAAACCCACGACCACTTCCATCCAGAAGGACAAGGGCAGCAGATACATGGGAGCACCACCGCCTTCAAGTTCTCCTCCAAGCCAATCACCATCCTGACTTGGATCACCGTTCCTTCACTGTCGCTGGGTCAAAATCCTGGAATTTCCTCCCTAATGGCATTGTGGGTCAAACCACAGCAGGAGGTTCAAGAAGGCAGCTCATCACCACCTTCTCAAGGGCAACTAGGGACAGGCAATAAATGCTGGCGCAGCTAGTGACACCCACATCCCACAAATGAATAAAAGAAAAACACCCCACCCTCAGCAAAAGTGGTGTGCGCTGGGTTTTCAGGCAAGACCTCTTGGGCATTGGTGCATTTTGGCTAAGCTGAGACCCTTTCAATCTGTACAAAAATTCAGACCATCTCTGAACTGGAGTGTATTAAATGTTTTAATAATGCTTTCATGCTTACAGCTTCTTGCTTCTCCTTTCTCAGTAACCACACTGTGCCTTGATTACCTTGGCACAGAATTTTTTTTTTTATTCGTTCATGGGATGAGGGCATCACTGGCTAGGCCAGCATTTATTACTCGTTTCTAATTGCCCAAAGGGCAGTTAAGAATCAGCAATGAGGTTGACTCTTAACTGCCCTCTGGGCAATTAGGGACCAGCAATAAATGCTGGCCCAGCCAGAGATGCCCTCATCCCATGAACGAATCATAGAATCCCTGCAATGTGGAAGCAGGCCATTCAGCCCATCGAGCCCACACTGACCCTCAGAAGAGCATTACACCCAGATTCACCCTATCCCTGTAAATCCATGGCTAATCCACTTAGCCTGCACTACGGACACTATGGGTAATTTAGCATAGCCAATCCACCCAATCTTTGGACTGTGAGAGGAAACCGGATCACCGGGAGGAAACCCACGCAAACACGGGCAGTATGTGCAAACTCCACACAGACAGTCGCCTGAGGGTGGAATCAAACCCAGGTTCCTGGCGCTGTGAGGCAGCAGTGCTAACCACTGTGCCACAAAAAAAGACAAAAGTCAATAACACACAGAATCAAACATTAAACAACTGAACACTACACAAAACCTTATTTTAAAATAACCATCCTAAACAACAAACATACGTACATTAAGCATTTCTTAGAGTTAAATGTCTACATTTTCTGACAGAACCAAATTAATCTGTGAGATGTAAAAGATGTTTGATGATGGCATTAAGATCTGGGAACTTGAGGTTGATCAGCAATATCACGGTTACTCATAAGAGATTAAATTGCATCTTCATAATCACCATCTTCAAAATGACCTGGCATGCTCTTTGTCAGGCATCTTACATTCCATTTTATGTTGTCATTGAACAGATAAGCATTAGTACTGAGCAAACTCTTCATCTGCTTTGAAAACTGTTAAACTGTTGTTGTTACAAAATTCATGGACATCACATTCATTATGTAGGAAAACTGCAATTACCAGGCAAACAAAACACAAGACCCACTTCATTGACTTTCCATTATCCTGTGAAATTCCATAATAAAACAAAGGCATAATGGAATGGGTAACAACCTAGAAGAAGGCCTTCCAGCACTCACTTCCCTTTTCCCTGTCGCCGTGAAATTTTATTCTGCCCAGATAATTATTCAATTTCAATTTCTATTAGCGATTGAATCTGCCTATGGGGCACACCCTCAGGCTGTGAGTTTCAGATCCTAACCACAAACTGATGGTCCCTCATGTATTCCCTCACGTCATCTCTTCATGCCAATCACCGTAATTTGATGTCCTCTGATTCTTGGCCCTTCTACCAATGGGAACGGATACTGTCTACCTCTTCTGCTCAGAATACTCCTCTCAAATGTTCTCTCAACCTTGCCTTCCCTAAAGGGAACAGTGCCAGCTGCCTTCCTTTAAACATCTTTTCAAAACTGCCTGTTGCAGTCTGTCTAATTTAATGGTTTGTGAGCTTCTGAAAACAGCAAAAAAAAATCTTTGGATTGTTGGAGAGAGATGCTGGGAAAATAAGTCATTCCTTAATGAATATCAAAAACATTATAGTCATTTTGGATTTGTAGTCATTAAAGTCATTTTATGATGCAAAATGGCTTGAATCAGATTACGAGAAATGAGTAGTTAGTTTTGCAGTTAAATTTTGCCTTTCGTGTGTATGAACTTTCTTCTCAATACTCCAGTAGCTAGGTTCATAGAAAGCAAAACGTTGAAATAAAAAGCACTGTAACTTTTGCATGTTCTGGGACTTGTAATTCATACTTATCACAGATTTCTTGCTGATAGGATTGATACAAATTCCAATGAAATCGGTAACAGTTCATCCCCATTTGTTTAACATAAATAGGAATTTACATATGACCCGGAATCCAGAGCAATGCAATATTGCTTGTTGAAAGAGCACAGTGTTTTAAATTTATGTTTATTTAATTCTGCCTTTTTTTTCATTTTGTTCAGGTATTGCGACTGATGAATTTGATCAGGTAAGCATTTTTGCATCTTGCTTTCATCAAGCAGGGATGACATTTTGTCATGAATAGATTATTTCCACTGGTTCAATCTAGTTATGTTAAATTTATAAGCATGGAGCATGGTGACTAAATGTTTCAAACACAACAGTGTACTTTGATCCTTTTAACAACTTCTATGAATTGTAAGCATAATGCTTTTAATTATTGCAGAGAATTATTTTGTGGAAGGAACTGGTTGATGATACTTGTGTTTATCTAACAGCAGCATATAGGGTTAATGCTTCAAATTTTACATTAGCTGATTTTATCCAACTTAAACTCAGATACAGAAATCAGAGAGAACTGTTATTATTATCATTGTAAACATGTATCAATGATCACCTCATGCATCTCAAGCAACTTCATTGCCATCTAAATGGTATAACTGAATATTTTTCTCAACAAGTCGTTGATTGTTAAGTTTCCTTAAATGGTTTAAGAAAAAAACCCATAAATATTTAGGTGCAAAAGAAACTCCAGGTTGGCCAGAATGCTGGGGTCTCATACTGCAACTGAGGTTTTGCCTGTATTAATGGGTCAAGTCGTAATGAGGAACAAAGGAACTGAATAGATATTTTACATCAGTTTTCACAGTGGAAAACACCAACAGCATACCAGAACTTTGAGAAACAGGAGGCAGAAGGACCTGGACAGGCTAGGAGAGTGGGCAAAGAAGTGACAGATGGAATACAATGTGGGGAAGTGTGATGCTATGCACTTAGGTAGAAAGAATAGAGGCGTAGACTATTTTCTAAATGGGGAAAGACATTTAAAATCTGAAACACAAAGGGACTTGGGGGACCTAGTTCAGGATTCTCTTTAAGGTTGACATGCAGGCTCATTTGGCAGTTAGCAAGGCACATGCAATGTTAGCTTTTATTTCAAGAAGGCTCGTATACAAGAGCAAAGAGCTACTGCTGAGGCTGTATAAGGCTCTGGTCGGACTGCATTTAGAATACTGTGAACAGTTTTGGACCCATATCTAAGGAAGGAGTCCTCACAATTGAGAGGGCCCAGAGGAGGTTTTTAAGAATGATCCTGGGGATGAAGGATTTGTCAATCTGAGGACTCTGGGTCTGTACTTCAAAGAGCTTAGAGGATGAGGGGGTAACCACTTGAAACTTACGGAATGTTGTGAGGCCTGGATAGAGTGGGTGTGGAGAAGATGTTTCTAATAGTAGGAGAGACTGGGACCTGAAGATACAAGCCTTCACTCTGAGGCTAATCCTTTAGAACTGAGATGAGGAGGAATTTCTTCGGGCAAAGAGTGGTTAACCTGTGGAACACATTGCTGGAGAAGGCTGTGGAGGCCAGATCATTGAATGTTTTCAATACAGAGATAGATAGGTTCTTGATTAGTGAGAAGGATCAAGGGTTACAGAGAAAATGTAGGAAAATGGGGTTGAGAAACACATCATCTATGACTGAATAGCAGAGCAGACTTAATGGATCAAACAGTCTAATTTTGTTCCTATATCTTATGGTTTTATGGTCTAAAGAACCCACAAATATTAAGATGCAAAAGGACCTCGCGGGTGTCTACCTTGCCTTTGCAAAAACTCACCTCTAAGAGCTCCATGTGCTGTGCGTACACAGTGTTGTGACTCTGCCTGGCCTTTAGTCTGCTTTGTGTTTGCTAGTTGCACACTTGCTTTGCTGTAATATCTGCTTCATAACTTGTTTTGCGTTTGACCATTTTATCATTTTAAATAAATCAGTCCATGGTTAGTTTAGCAATTATTAGATCAGTAAAGTCAGCATATTCCCAGAGGACCATAGGGCTGCTTTCTCATTAGAGAGAGATAAGCACTGGTAAGTTTAAAAGTGAGCTTTGTTGATATTATTGACTGGAGTAATTGTCTTGCGCTATATTTTATTTGAATGTGTTTGTTAAAATTATTGAAATCATTTAAGATTTTAAAAATGAAATGTGATCAGATATGATGGCTTGTATTGTGCAGAACTGAACTGAAAATAATATTAGTTATGCCACTTTCCTGATGTGAGCAAATGCATCAATGGAAGTCATACTCCTCATGCAGTACTCTCCCTTGTTTAGTAAATTGCTTTCCAACAATTTTGAGAGTGTGCTGTGTTGAATTGTTGTTAAGCTCTGTGAGCAGCTTATCATGGTATGCTCATTCAGAGGAAGAAGCAACTGCTATGGGGAAACAGTGGAAGAAGGTGTGTGAGATATGAAACCCTGTGAAAGGAGGTGCAGTGAAATAGCCTGCTGCTTACAGATGAAAAGCTGGAGAGGATGGTGAGATCGATATTGCTGGGAATAAAACAAGGTAGTACAGGACTGTTCAGCAAACAAAAGAAGTCCAACGTTAGCAGTCTTTCTGAGATTTCTTACTGCATTCCTACCAGCTTGTAGCCGCAAAGCTTCTGGGATTTACATGTTTTGCAACTGCTCCTCATTCCTACAGAGCAGCCAGCTCTGGAGAGTACAATCTCCTTTCTGCTGCTGACTTGTTCTGTAAGAATCTTCAACATGCCACATGAAAACCTGAGGTCCCGGCTACAGTCATAAGCAATGTGTGAAAAATGTGTTCTAGTACCCAAGTTACAGCAGGACATGGTGCCGTGGTGATATCTCTGGACTAGTATTTCACGGGACATGTGTTCAAAACCCACCATGAGATAAGAAGTTGGCTTACTTGTGACTGTGTAATCATTTGTTGATTATCATTTAAGAGAAAGCATCGCGTTCACTAATTATCTTTGGGGAGGGAAATCTGCAATCCTTAACTAGCCTACATGTGATATCAGAGCCCCAGCAATGTGGATAATTATTAACTGTCCTCTAGGCAATAAATGCTGGCCCAGCCAGTGATATCATCAACCCATAAATGAATTAAAAACAATTATTTTCCTTTTAACAGAATCAGTTAGGATTTGAACCTATGTCAGCGGTTTATTAGCCTGGGTCTCTGGATTACAGTACACAACATTACCATGCCACCACTATCTCTGCCTGTTTTGCCTTCACTCTTGAGACAGTGGGAGTGAGCTACATTATTTAACAGCTGCAGGTCTTGTGGTGTAGGAGCACCCACAGTTCTGTTAGGAAGGGATTTTCAGATATCTGACCCAGAGACAGTGAGGGAACAGGGATATTGTTCCAAGTCACATGGTGTGCAGCCTTGGAAGGGAACTTGCATTCGATGGTGTTTCCATTCATCCGTTGCCCTTGTCCTTTTAGCTGGTAGAGGTTGTGGTTTTGGAAGGTGCTATTAAGGGAACCTGGGTGAGTTACAGCAGTACATCTTATAGATGGTACTCATAGCTGCCATTGTATGTCAATGGTGGATGGAGTGAAAGTTGAAGGCAATGGATTGGGTGCCAACCAAGCAGGCTGCTTTATCCTAGACAGTGTTAAGCTTTTCGAGTGTTTTTGAAATTGCAATGGGAATACAGGAGGCGCGTTATTTGGAGCAGAATTCATAGCTTCTAACTTGCTCTTGGAGCGACAATATTGACATGACTGCTCTCACCCAGTTTTTGGTCAACTGTAATGCCCAAGGTGTGGGCAAAGGCAGATTCAGTGATGATATGTCATTGAATTTCAAGGGGCAACGGTTATATTATCTCTTGAGTAAGATATTTAATGCCTGTCACTTGTGGCATGAAAGCTACTTGCCACTTATCAGCTCGAGTCTGCATACTGTCTGATCTAGCTAAACATGAACAGGACACATAGACCGTTTCAGTATATGAGGAGATGTGAATGATGCTAAACATTGCAAAATCATCAACAAGAATCCCCAGTTCTGACCTTATAATGAAGCGATGGTCATTGATGAAGCAGCTGAAGATGGTTGGGCCTAGTAACTCCTGCAGAGATATCCTGGAGCCTGAGATAATTGACCTCCAACAACCACAACTATCTGTCTTTGTGCCAGGGATGACTCCAGCCAGTGGAAAATGTAGCTCTTTTGAAGTTCAGCTCGTTTGTCCATGTTTAGATCGAGGCTGTAATGAGAACAGTAAGGAGAATCCTTGCAGAGCACAAACTTATTGTCAGTGAGCAGGTTATTGATGTGAAAGTGTCACTTGATAGCACTATTAATGACCTTTCCATTCCTTTGCAGAAGAATGCAAATAGACTGTAAGTGCAATAATCAGCCAGTGTGATTTGCCCTGCTATTTGTAGACTCTACAAATTTCACCAATGTATAATGTTGCCAATTAGTGCCAATCTTGTACTTACCGGGGCAGCTTGTCTGGGAGCCACAGCTAGTTCATAAGAATCCCTACAGTGCAGATAGAGACCATTCAATCCATCAAATATCAAGCCTCCAAAGAACATCCCACCCCACTTGGCTTGAACATTCCTAGACGCTACAGGGCAATTTAGCATGGCCAATCCACCTAACCTGCACATCTTTGGACTGTGGGAGGAAACCAGAGCACCCGGAGGAAACCCACAAAGACACAGGGAGAATGTGCAAGCTCTACACAGATGGTCACCCAAGTGTGGAATTGAACCCAGGTCCCTGGCACTGTGAAGCAGCAGTGCTAACCACTGAGCCACCGTGACATCATGACACCCTGCCACCCTAACAGTTCTAGAACATGATATATATTAAAAGCAAGTTCTGAGAAAACAATTCTGATGAAAGGTTGTGAACCTGAAATGCTGGGACGAATTTTACATTCCCACACCAGAAGGTTTGCAGCTTTGTGGGTGGCATATAAAATACAACATTTCCACCACATAATGTACCCAACTCAACCACTTCTGCTGGCAGCTCATTCCTTATGCGTACCACCCTCTGTGTAAAACAGTTGCCCCTCAGGTTCCCTTGTATTCCTTCTCTTACTTTAATCTAATGCCCTCTAGTCCTTGATTCCCCAACCCTGGGAAAAAGGCTGAGTGCATTCACCCTATCCATGCCTCTCATGATCTTATACACTTTTATAAAATTCCCCCTCAGTCTCCTACGCTCTAAAGAAAAAAGTCCTGG